CATACATCAAATTTTTACACACAAAAAAAATATGAAATTTTATTTCATTTATATACATTATTATAAATCAGCATTCATCAACAATATCAAACTAAAAATTGCACAAAAACACTTAAAATAATTCAAGCTACATGAAAGTGTTTATTTATGACAAACTACTCGTCGGCAATTATGGCATTAATCCTTGATTATCGAGCTCGTGAAGAACTTTCTCAAAGTCTGAGACCAATCTCTCTGCTAAGGTTCGAGAAAAATCTTGTCGGATCACTACGCGGAGGACGGTGACGTGTTCCGCATCCGCAGGCATTGTATAAGCCGGAACGATCCAGTCAAAGCGGCGGAGAGTTTCCGCCACTTTGTACTCGTTGTAACGACTACTGTCTTTAAGTGAGAACGCCACTAACGAAACACCTTTTCTTTTGAGACAATGTTAAAACGTCCCGTTTCCTCTAATCCTTGTCTTAGAACCATCATGTTTTCTCTACAATTATCCATCACGTTGCGATATCCCTAAACAAACAAACAGACCAAAAAGCATTATTTATTATACAATGTATGATTATTGTTTCTTTGTTCCATTTAAAGTTTAGACCAAATTATATCGGTTAGATCTATTCATATTCAGCGTAATATTTGGAAAAATCATTCTAAACTACACGAAGAATACTCCAACGCATGGCTACACATCCAAACAAAACTAATGTATCAAAATCTACATCAAGTATTGAATTTGCATGAAGACATTCACGAACAAACATAAATTATGTGGTTAACAACATAACCATGACTTTTGTCACGGTTTTGGTGTATCGAACGACGGAACTGATAAAGTCCGGTTAGACCCGAATTGATAAAAACATTACCCGGCGTGGTTAGTAACTAACCCGAAACTCAAGCTAATCGACTTTGTGTTTTTTTTTAATATATGGTTCAATACAAAATATGCCTACAATATAATATATGGTTCAATACAAAATATGTATGTGTTACCTTTGGAGAAGTTGAGGGTGAAGGTGGGTTGAACGGCACCAAGATAATTGATATGGAAGATAACTTCATCAGGCAAATCGGATCTGGTTCTCCAGATATTCCAACCTATACCGGCGTAAACCAAACCGTATTTGTGACCACTCACATTTATGCTCTTAACCAAAGGTAACCGGAAATCCCACTCTAGCTCCACCTCGAATACAAGAATGGTGCAATAAACCCACCACTCGCTGCGTCCACGTGAATTGGCGTTTCCCAACTGCAAAATGGTTTTGTTACAAACGTTAAACCGGGGGTTGAACAGGTTAAAATTAAATGTTACTAGTTTTCTTTATAAAAAAAAAATTGGGTTGGTTTAATTACCCGGTTTGCTTGTTCTTCTCGACTAAGAGGTCGTTAAGGAGCTTAACGTCTTCGAATTCTCCGGTTAGCGTCGAACCGAGGATTGCAGCCACGCATATTGTGTTTTCGTCTACCATCTCAACCGCTTTTTCAGGGTCCATTACGTAATAACCTTCTCTTAGTTTCACTTCCTTGAGCTCCACCTCGAAATAATTTGCAAATTTCTCCCAGCAAACCTATATTGAAACCGGAAATTAAGATAAAAATAAACAGACGTTAACCGGCGTTACATATTTTTGGGTATAGTAGCTCATTGTTTAACTACTTATTGGCTGAAATAATTCAACTTTTTGGTCTAATATTTCAAAATCTTTTGGTTTGGTTTAAGTAATAACAGAAAGCTAAACCAAACTTGTTTTTTTTTGGTAAGAAAATTTCTCCAAAAAAGAAAACCGTATCAGCCACAAGTAGAGAAAACATTGAACTAAAACTCAGTGACAATTTTTGGCATAGTATCAAATTTGTTTGGTTTACCTGAACATTAGCTCCGGTTATGATATTGGGTTTATCGTAAGGATGACCTTGAGCCTTACGCTTCTTCTGCCATAGTCTCTTACAAGCCAATCTGGCCAACATAATCGCCTCCGACGACCCCACGGTCCCGACTCCAACCCCGGCCTCGTCTACACCGAGCGGCGCGTTTAAGAGACGCGCGATGATATTGACGCATCGATTATGTAGCTCGGTGGTGACACGGTATTCGTCCATATCAACAAAGTTCTTGTTGATAGACTCCATCATGAGTTTGTCGCACTCTGGCTCCATATAAGTGGTCACGAACGAGGTTTAGCCTCAGGTTACCATCGAGCATTAGCTCATCGTTGATGATTTGGTACGCTGCTTCCTTCGGGATCGAGTTCTTAGGTATCTCAAATCTAATGATAAAAACATTACGTTAGAGTTACCAAAACATAAAAATAACGAATGGCATGAGATGTAATTTTTTACAAAACAAAGGCTATAGATTTATTTTGTTTCTCAACAAAAACATAAAGAATTAAATATAACATATTACCGTGGAAGAGAATTGCGTGTTGGAAATTCCAAAGCTTGAGTTAGAAGTTACTTGGAAAGGAAGTTATCTCTTTAGAAAGTTGTTTAAAGAGAT